GTAATTCCGAAGATTTTCCCGAGATCCAGCTTTTGGAAGTGGATCGAACGTGGCCACAGCTGGACAAACCGGTCGACAGCATGACTTGTTGCAGACTTCCTCAGCATCAACATTTAGAGTGGGAAAGAGAGCGAGATTATCACGAAGCCTTTGTTGATACTCTTTCTTCACCATTGGGTCCTCCAACTTGTAGGTGTTCAGTCGGGTGTGTTTGGATCTACATGAACCACCGAAACGCATGCAAACGGTCGCACATACCAGTGCATGATCGGTATCGACGCATGTTGCCCAAAATGATCGGCAGTTGCGTACGCTGCCGCGCCACCTGCTACTTATGGCTATGTAGTCAAGCTGTGACCAGCGCTGGGCTGATAGTGGGAGCCGCCAAGTGGTGTACTGGCGTCCAGGATGACAAAGTTCATGCTGTAGAGGAAAAGCTGATGATCAGCACACAGACTGAGCAGCCTCTCTCCGTTGTCTGAGCCAACAACATCATATCCATGCGGTCCCCCGAGGTGGCGTTCACATGCCAGCAGCCGACCGACACGCACGTTTAAATCTCCTTCCAAAACATTCAAGTCTATTTTAGGAGCCCTTAGCAGCAGCCCATGAAGGTCCTGGTGGAGCTGATCTTTGACTGTGTCCGAGCTACAGTTAGTGGGCGCGTAGGCAGAGATCACGAAGAGAGCATCCTTTTTTACTCGACGTCTGCACAAAGGCGACTATTGATTGGAATCCAATCAATCAGGACAGTCTTGGCTCTAGCACTGGGGGCGATTCCAACACCAGCTTGCCCAGGTGCGGCAAACTCGGCGTCACCAGAGAGGCGAAGATGGAAGCAGGTGCATGGATGGAGCGGTGACGCCAGCTGTTAGACCGAGTTATAGCCCTGGAGTCGCGTTTCACTCAGACAGCAGATATCAATTCCAAAGGTCTCTAGCGTGCGTGCAAGTCCGGATTGCTGACCGAGCTACAGTAATGTGCGTACGTTGAAGGATGCAAGTTTGTACTATGTTCCCGGTTGCAGGAACGAAGATGGGACTTCCAGACTGACAGCCCTCTGTTGAGCACTGTGGTTGAGTTGGCAGATGTCACGGGAACAGGTTCACCGGTGTAGGTGGGGTTGATCGCCCTAGAAGCATCAGGTAAAAATGGGTGTGAATGGTACAAAGGAAGGGTAGGTAAAATGGTGGCGTGTGCTTGTGATGTTGGCGTGGTATCATAAGTGAATAGCATCGTAGCAGCAAGAGAACGTATGATTGGTTGTAGTTGTAAGTCCATGGTTCGTCAGTAGGCGAGGTAGGTAGCTTGTCTTAGGGGACCACCGCCCCGAGCCTTTGGCCAAAGGGCCTAACCCACAAGGCAGCATGGCGATACGAAGGGTTCGCACCCGTTGGGAGCCGTTGACCGGAAACTCAGTTCATACGCTTTACGCATGACAATAAGCCATGCCAGGGGCCCAACTCTACCGAAGTTATAGACAAGATCTGGTGCTCGGATTGCTTGCCGGTGTACAATGTCTCCAAAGGAGACAAAGGGCAGTGACTTGATTTACTGGTGCGTAACATCCGCCACATTGCAGTGTTGTTAAACGGACATCTGTGGCTTTTTATAGGGATAACGTTTGCCAGGCGAAAACCCACCACGTCCTGGAACACTGCCGCCGAACCGCTCAACTGGTACCACGAGGAGGTTGTTCGGCAAGCCAGCCAGTTGTTCGGTGACTAGATCCCTGTCAACAGCCGGATGTGTGTCGTTAGGTTAGCTGGCTCATTCTAAGCTTCCAAGTCGCACGATGACAAACGGTGCCTGTTTGTCATTGCGGTTTGCGCCCCCACAAACCGCAGCCTTGATTCCATGAAAGATGATTCCCATCCCCACCTTAACGGTCTCCTTCGATATAGAAGGAGCACGGATACTGTGGTACTTGCTGGTGATCTAAACGCCCAAGTAGGAAAATTGTCCGCTGATGACCTTCATCTGGGCGACCAACATAGTGTAGGCTCCCGTAATGATAACGGTGAGCAGTTGCTACACCTGTGTGAAGGTGCTCGTCTCTTTCACGCAAGCACTAACTTTCAACATAGCACTAGCAGAACGATGACTTGGCGCCCATCTGTCTCAGACCAGCCATGAACGCAGATCGACCACATCGCGACTAGTTACCGCTGGAGAGGCTGTGTCCAAAACTGTCGCTCGATTTGGAGCACCAGCGTGGACTCCGATCACGCTCTTGTGTGTGCCGACCTTCGGGTTCGTTTCAGCGGACGTCCACAATGTCGCTCTGATTGCATTGGCACTAGCCAACTGGCGAAGCCAGGTGTTCTGAATGCATATCAAACTACACTGGCATCTGGGCTGAGTAAGCGTCCACTGAACACCGTCAATGATCACTGGTCGCATATTCGTCAAACGTTGCTATCAGCAGGCATGTCTTCATGTGGCAAATCAAACAGTCAATCTAGACATTGTGTCTCTACAAAGTCTGGAATCTGGATGCTCGCCGACGTATTCCGACTGGAAGCGAATACAATGCGACTCGCAAAAATCTCAGGGCAGAACTGCGTGCTAACCTGCAGGGAGACCGCGAAGCTTGATGTTCTCGTCGTACATCGGAAATGGAAGCAGCCGCTGCCTTTGGTAATCATCGTAAGTTATTCTGTCTATTACGGGAAATAGTCAGCAGGAGACCTGATGTTACCGAGACAATACGCGACGAGAGTGGACAGCCGATCTACAGCCTGTCAAAACACTTGGAGCGTTGGACCGAACACTTTGCAAAGCAGTTTAACCAAACTGACTTATCAATTTCTCCTTCGGGAATTGAGTGCCCTTCTCCATGCGCCGTCTCCTTAGATGCGTCCTCACGCGCAGAAGTCGAACGTGTGATTAGGCTATTGAAATTGCATAAAGACGCTGTTGCAGATAGAATTCTCCCAGCTCTACAAATTCGGGAGTCCTGCTCTTGTAGATCATTTACACGAGTTGCTAATGGAACTTTGGGAGCAGGAAAGTGTCCAGACAGACCTTGGCCGCTCCGTCATAGTCCCGATTTTCAAGGGAGGTTCCCGTTTAAAATGCGGCAACCATAGAGGGATCAGTCTGATATCAATTGCCTCTAAATTGCTTGCGTCTGTCGTTCTCCACAAACTGACTGGCGCTCGTGAAGGCCAGATCCGCGAAGAGCAAGCCGGGTTTCGTCGAAATCGAGGCTGCATCGACCAAATCTTCAGTTTGCGTCAATTGTTGGAGCACCTCCATGTTTACTGGTGACCCACCGCTGTCATGTTTCTCGACATCAGAAGTGCCTTCGATTCGGTGGATCGATGTACACTTTGTTACCGTCTGCTGAGAATAGGTGTGCACGAAAAATAGGTAAACATTATCAAAGCGCTGTACGCGCATACTTCGGGCAGAGTGAGGGTTTATGGCAAACTGTCACCGCTCTTCAATATCTCCAGCGGTGTGAGACAAAGTTGCCCGCTGTCACCTTTCCTCTTTAACTTCGCTTATGATGAAGTCATAGAAATAGCGTTCGCTACACACGACCTGGAAGGTGTGGAGCTACTTTGACTACTTTTTGACTTGGTGTATGCGGACAACATTGCCCTCATATGTGACAGCGCCCAAACGTGCCAGGCTGCACTGGACCGATTAGCACTGGCTGTCAATCGTTTTGAGCTATGCTTTGCTACATTGAAATGCCAAGTGGTTCTCCAATATTGGCAAGGACCCACCCCTGCGCTGACCCTTGTTGGTGATCAGCTAGAAGTCGTTCAGGAATTCAAGTACCTGGGCTGCTATATTAGCGCCTTTGGGATCGAAGATGAGATTACTAACCGTATAGCGAAAACTCTAGGTGCTTTTACCATAATCCGGCATTTGTGGCGCAGACGCGACATTACTCTCGCCCTCAAGGGCAGAGTTTATAATGCAGCCGTCCGTTCAACTCTCTTATACGGTTGTGTAAACCGGCCTATCAGGTCGACAGACATAAAGATGCTGGTCACATTCGGTCATCGCTACCTTCACAGCTTAGCTCATATTTGGTGGAAGCATCGCGTGCGCAATGAGCGTGTTCGGCGTCATGTATTTTGTGCAGGAAGAGTGAGTGAACCGCTCAGCACCATCATATCACCCACCACGTTCCGATAGCTGGGCCACGTGTTGCGCATGCCAGCACACCGACTCCCGCGACGTACATTGTTTGCGTGCCGTGGGTGCGGTTGGAAGAGGAGGATGGGAGGAGGGATGTAGGCCCTCAATTCTAAGTTGGCGTCGGTCGGTGCATCCTGGCTGCATGGCTGGGGTCCTAAGGACGATGGGCGCATTTATTTGAATACACTTGTTGATTTGGCGAAGAGCCGGCCTCAATGGCGCTTGTGTTGTGAATTTCTTTGTCCATTCCCCTCCATGTTAGATTTCCCCTCCAATTCCGATCTCACACGGATTACTTATATAATACCTAACATTATATCACTTTCTTTTGAATTTTTCTATTTGGCTTTTTTATATCTTAACTTTTTATATTGCAACGCTAAGGTGTTGTTGATGATGTTATTCCCCAACACAACTCCGTATATCAACTTGCTCGTATTAGGCCCGCTGATATAACCATGGATTACTCTGTGATACGTTTGATTTTATTTTTGCGATAACTACATCTTCTATTGTTTTTCCTGGCTTTTGATGGCTCCGTGCTTATCCATTGACTGATGCATATTTTTGTTTATTTATTTATGCGTGTGTCTAACCCCACCTGGGACACTTTATCATGCATACTCTGTGTGTTGCTGGCCAGCCGCTCGGTGTGGCATTTTTCACCCCTTTTACTTGTGGTATTCTTACCCTCCTACTCCTCTCGGATGTGCTCCTATTCGCTAAGTGTGCGCGTCTCCTCTTGTTGTCGCATCATCTATGTCGCATGATCATTGTGAGTTTTAAATCACCGTTGCTCCGTAACCTCACATTTTTACGCCTTTAATGTTTCTCTTTTACAGGTGTTACCGAAAGCATTATTCTGGGCAATCCCACACGTTTGGGAACGGGGACTTTTGATTTGCTCAGCGATCGATATCCTTTTTATTGCTATCACGTATTCCTCTTGTATTGGATTAATCAGGAAAGCATAACTCTAGTGCTCGATTATTCCCTTTTCAAACTCCATTTGGTTGCCTGAACGTTTTGATAGTTTTCCTATTTGCCTGCATAGTGTATGCAACGGGTGTTTACGGTTGTTGCATTTGAGTGCCCGCAACTCCATCCGTTTGTTTGCTCACCTATGGATTGTCTGATTGGTTAGTTGGTTGACGTTTTGCTGCATTTTTCACTAATACTTTATACCGGTATTCACTACCATGCAGACATGGGTGAAATTTCCTAAGTAGGCACCGCTTTTTCCATTCATAAGTAATACCAATTCGCCCGTACGGATTCCACAAAATGCTATGTCGATTCATAGCTGCCGTAACCGGGAAGTCCTGACGCCGGAAGGCCGACCGCTGTCATCTGCATGGCAGGTGCCTGCATGGCAGTGGAGGATGCGTCGGGCTATATCGCATTTAGCTAACAATTCACGATAGTCAGATACCGTCCTCCATGGCGCAGTTGCATAAGCTGCGGGCTAGTTGGCAAGAGCCACTAGCAGTCATGGGTTCGATCCTCCGCAGAGGACCGAAGGATGCGCACCACTGATGAGCCCCAATAGGGCGAAACGGCCGTCTGGTGCTTTTCCGGACAGTTGGTCGACATATCTGAATTGTCAGCTGATTGCGACGAACAAAAATACTCGCGGATGTTGACTCAGTTTTTAGCATCGAGGTGCTTCTTGATATAACTTACGAAATATCCATCCAATCCCGTACCGTCACTTTTAGCCCGCTTCTCTACATGAAACCTGCTGTGATCTCCGCGACACGTGTGCGACTTGAACCCCGACATTTGAGTGTTTAGTGTGCCCCTATGCTTATTTTTTCAGCTGATTCGTTTTTTCTTCCCACATGCTCCGTGCTCCTTCTTAACCATTTCTTCACATGGCAGGATAGACTGGCTCTGCGACAAAAACCGGTGTTGCTGGGATAATAAGTCAATTTTCCCATTCACTGCGGCTACCCTTCTCGCCCTCACTGTCATCACCTTTGGCTCACGGCATCCTAGACATGAAACTGCTGTGTGTGTACAGATTGCATATGTATATATACACTTCCATTCTGCTACCCATTTTCACCTTCTACTATCGAGCGACATCCGAATGACTCATGGACGGAATCATCTGTTCCGTCACCTATGGCGCTGCTAATCGTCACTGAATTTTGCGTTAGCAACTTCACACTGATTTGATCACCTTTCTCTTTCCGGTGTGCTAAGTCCCCAGATTTGTGTTTGAGATCGACTTCGTTTTAGGGGCTCGATACAATGGTTGGCTTGATGTTCCGCATTGTCTCACAATCGGCGCGCCACAATTAAATCAGTTTGTCGATGTGTTCAGCTCAAGGCGTAAAGTGAATGACACTCATTTCCATAGCATCCTAAGCCTGACTTGCTACTGCCCTCATCCTACCTAGTGCGACAGCCTCGCCGAGACGAGGAAATCAGAGATTGATGTGACAGCGCAATTTTTAGCACTCTACAGCATTCGGCGCATAGGGCCTGACAACCAGTCGCTTATAGACTTAACCCGGTGTGCGGCTAAGCGAGTGCAGAATTAACCGACATAAGCATACTAGGCAGCTTCACGTCACATCCACTTTGGCACGCATTATCTCTCATTCGGAATGTCAGTATCGCATCCGGTCTGCCCAAGTAACTTCGTGGATTCACCATCCTTTGTCCCCTTACTGTCGTTCACAATTTGTTTTGCCGATTGTATCCATAATTTCTTGTTATCGCGGAAGCGTCTACAAGTTCTAGTTGATCTGCTTCGTTTGATCCACTGTTCTGTGAAACTGTTTGAGGACGTGCGTTATAACACTTACACGGATCAAAAACATGTCCCCGTCAATCTTTTGCTGTGATTTTACCATGTTTTCTAATCGCGCTTTGACGCTTGAATCATTTTGTGCATCGACCAAGCTAAAATTCGTATCAGAAGTGTATCGATTCCAACAGGAACCTAGTGTTTATCTGTTTTGTTTTCCGTGGTATCTATCCGTCTTATCTGCGTTTCACTCGAATGTAGGCGTTTGTCTTGCTTCAACCCCGACCATCAGATTTCCACAAAACAGTGCAGTTCGTTCTCATTCCCAGAAGATCGTACCGTAATCGAGAACGATAAACACATCTTCACTGCCGATGAATCCATTGTGCATTTGGATTCGCCTCATCATAGACACATTGATAACGCACATGTGAGCGTCTGCCCCATATGAATACTGAATGGGATCACTTGTATGGCTCTGCGCGTCACCTCTGATCGACTGCTTTCTCAAGTATTTCTGTTCTTATTTACAAGTTGGTAACTAAGTGACAAGCTCACCAGGATGCCCTACGTACCGAACTTTCGCTCTCTTGTCCTGATGACACTGGCTTTCAATAGATTAGGATCTCTGCCGCCATGCACCATACAGGAGCCTCCGCTTGCGACACTAACAATTGTCACCGCATCAGTCACTGAATATCCGAGAGGTCGGTGAACCTGTTTGAATACAAAGGAAAACTCCCGGCTGATTTTGAGCACAATGTGACTTGACGAACTAAAGCGGAGCATGCATGCTGTCAAGGAAGCCTGGGGGCCTAGTAGGGTTCAAGAAATGGTGGAAGCAGACGTAGTACGCAATTTTCGCAATTTTGCGGATCAGTTAGCTGATCCGCATACTGGTCCCAGAAAATCAGGCGTCAGCAAAATAATCCGACACAATGCGAGTGCTCGTTGGGCAGAGCATTTACGAAACAGTTCCGTTTTCACCGTGCTCCTGGACCTCTTCCTACTCAGACTTCCCATGTTGAGCCATGGTCGGTTAATTCAAAAGCTCTGTCCGAGGCTGAGGTCTGAAACGCGGTCACAGCCCTTAATTGTTTTCGTGTTGCTGGCCCGGATTCTCTCCCATCCGCACTATATAGCGATGGCGATGGTGTCCTGTACAAAGCATTGACCTCCGTGTTCGAACAAGTCTGGACGACAGGGCCCATCCCAGCTAACTGGAGTGAATCGATTATAGTGGTAACCTACAACCACAGGGGTTTTGGCCTAACGCCAACTGCGACAAAACTACTGGCCTAAATTCTCGTTCGTCGCCTCACTGCGGAGCGAGAATCACGGATTAGGGAAGAGCAGGCAGCCTTCCGCCCACGACGTAGCTGTCTAGACCACATTATCACTTTGCGGCTGGTGCTAGAGCAGCGCCACACGTACCGCAAACCAACACTAGCTGTGTTCCTCGATTTCAAGAGCGCGCTCGACTCAGTCGATCGATGCATTCTGTTCGAGAGAATTTGCGGATAAGTGTTCCCGCGAAATATGTGAAAATTTTACGTGCCCTCTACTCGAATATCACAGGCCGCGTCAGCGTACACGGTGATTTGTCGGATGCCTTTCTGACAACAAATGGCGTTCATCAGGGCCGTCCACTTTTCCCATTCTTGTTATACTTCGTCATGGAGTGTTCCCCTGCGAAACTTCACGATGTAGGCGTTGAAGTGCTGCATGGTGAAAAGCTAGCTGATGTTCTTTATGCGAAAGATATTGTCTTGCTTTTTAACAATGTTATGACAGCACAATCAGCCCTGAATAACCTCTCTAGAGCAGTCCCATCATATGACATGCGTTTCGCACCTTTAAAATGCCAAGTGTTGCTGCAGGTCCACTAGCCATTTGGTCACTCTTTCACCTTTGATATCGAGACAACTGTGTCGGCAACGATGGGCGCATAGTGACTGAAGTCAACTCACGCATTGCAAAAACTAGAACTACCTTTTTGAATCTGAGACATCTTTGGCGACAGAATGAGCTTACCCTCAATATCAAAGCCCGTTAAAAGATACACAGTGAAGACTGTTCTACTCTCTGGGAGTGAGACATGGCCACTCTGATTACTGTTTAGAAGCAGCGAGTAGAGCTTGCTCTGTAGCTGCATCAATCTTTACTCATGGACAAATACCCGTTATGTTGTGTTCCGCTCAATGTATTTTGTCTCGGTAAAGTGTTTGTCAATGATCTCCTTAAATTTCGACTGCCTTTGCCTCAACTACGTGCTGCGGCAGGTCGTTCCATAATTTCATCACTCTGCGTTCGAAACAGAGTTGATGAGCGACCCGCTACAAATCCGGGACGATAAGTTTATACCGGTGTCCTCGCGTGCAGCTTGGTGTGCGCAGATGAAGTAGTTGTCTCAACATCGGGTAATCACCCAGATGTAATATCCGGTGAGTCATGATGAGGTCAACCCTCAGTCGACAATAAGCTAGGGTGTACAGCCCTAGTTTCTTACACCGGTCTTCGTGCAGTACACGTCGTAAGTTGGGAATCAGCCTGGTGGCTACATGCTGCTAAGGATCTGAATCGCATCTAAGTCTCTGATCGTCGCTGCTTTCGAAGCACTGCTGGCATCGGATGGCACCAGCGTGTTCGCAACGACTATGTGCCTAAGCGACTACTAGCCAGGATAGTTCCTTAGAACAACAGATAGCACTGAATGAGTTGCGTTGGCTTTGGCATATATGTCTGGTCACCGCTTACCGCGGAGGGCGTTGTTTTGTTTGCCAGATCTAGGGTGACACAAGGCCTGAAGTGGACAAAAGTTCCCCTGGCACTTGGAAATGAAGTCACTGACGACTAAATTGGGTGCCGTCGGTCCTTTTTGCCTTCCGGTCTAGAGTCCACATGACCCGCTTTGTACTTGGCTTGAGACGTTAGAGGACATGGCTCGTAGTCGACACCAGTGGCATGTCTGCTGTCGTCTCCCAGTCGGACTGCCTGTATAAAATGTAAAGCAGTTAGTTCCCTTCAACAATTTGAAAAGCACGGAAAGAGGACGAAGGCTGGTAGATGCATGCATTTCGTATTGTCTCAATGCATGTATAAAATGTGTTTGGTGCTGAGTTATCTATGGGGTAATGGCTGATTATGACGTAAAGGCCGAAAGGAAGCTGTCTTGCTGATGCCGCCTTATCTTTGCAAGATAGCCAGTTGTTTGGGACGGTATGTTGTTGACAATGTGTAGGCACCTTGACCCGTGTGTTTGT